ATCTATCTATCTATCTATCTGCCAGTAGGGCGGTGGCATTGAGCAATGAGCCGTCCACTCCGGTAGGGGGAGCTACTGCGCCTTAACGTTTTATTGTCAAACCATGTTAAACAACAAGAGTAAGACGCCAGTGCAACCTCTCGCTCCGCCCGCCTGGATGTAAGTGCTGAGCGGGAGGGGGGGGGGTGACAGAGGAATAAATACTGTATAAATAAATACTACACTTCAAGATTGTCAACGCATTTATCAGTTTTACACAATGAGCGGGATACCAGGGACTGCTGTCGTCCAGGTTACCAACCTGTCCTCGGCCGTGAGCAGCGAGCAGATGCGCACTCTGTTCGGTTTCCTGGGAGACATCGAGGAGCTGCGGCTCTACCCGCCCGAGTAAGAGCACCCTGCCCCGGCGACAGCCAGCTAGGCAACACCGCGGATGTGCGGCCTTCTCTGCGGTCCACATAAACATAAATTAAGAAGTAACAGGTGTAATAAAATAACTAACCCGGATTGTTTTTTTTTTTTTTTGTCTTTTCCTTTCACAGCAATGGTCCTCTGTCATTCTCATCCAAAGTGTGTTATATAAAGTACCGAGACCCCTCCAGTGTTGGTGTGGCGCAACATCTCACTAATACTGTGTTTGTTGACAGAGCTTTGATAGTAGTGCCATGTGCGGAAGGTGAGTGCAATCCGTTTCACTCTAAAATGAAATGTCTTGAGTGGACCTGCTATGTCCTTCCTCCCTTTGAGTGCAACCGTTTGGTGTTTTGGTTGAATTCAGGGTTTGTTTGTTTTTATTCACAAGGAAAATTGGCAAGTTGTGCCATTGGCTAGTTCTGATTGGTCACAAAGTAGTTTTACACAGGTGACTGGGTTGTATCACCTCATTAAACACTAGCTTGCTAATCTCTATTAAAGTGCCCAGCCAGGGTTTCTGTTTGGTGTCACAAGGTTGTTTCTTTCTACAGATAATATTAGATAAAGTTTTGTTTTTTTCACTGTAAACACTGGATTCTCTGGAATAAGTAGCTTGTGTAGCTCCCCGAAAGAAACTGTCATTAATGATATCTGTTTCACGGTAATTACAAAATAAGTCCATTACATCACAGCTAACTAAAACCCCTTTCTCTCTTTCATTTTTGGTGCTCCTTTTTCTTTAAATTTCCCTCCCTTTTGGTGCCACTGTTGTTCCCTTGTGTACAGTCAAAAAAAAATGATATCACCTCTAACTTGATGCTTTTTGTCCACGTGACTTGGTGCTGGATGGCTACTGAGTTTATTAATTTGGTTTTGTATGTTTTTTCTGTGTGATTATGTGTGCATATCAGATGACTAGACTGGCCCAGCTGTTACACTACACTAGCCTGAGTCAGGCATTGTTTTCCAAGCCACTATCCCCGATCGGGCCAACGCAGCCTTCAAGGGGGAATGTGACCAGGAGAATAGCCCGCTGAGCCTTCCAAGATGGACACCTTGTCTCTTTTTATTTATTTTTCTTTTCTTTTGGTTTGTTTCCTTTCATACTTTCCCATGTTGTCCACTTTCTCCTGTCTCTATCTAGAAACTACAGTATTGCTTATCTCTAGCGTTGTGTTTATATTTGTTATTTTGGTTTGTTGTTTTGATTATTGTCCAACCCCCACCCCCCTCTCTCTTTCTGCTACAGCTGCGGCTTGTGTGTGATTGAATTCTGTCCAGGTTGCTACGGCATACCGGTGGGATGTGTATCACACATGGGATGCTAGGAGGATCACTAACACTTAACTCTCTTGTCACCTACTCCTGTTGACATAGCGAGGGGCTAGACATTATAAAAAGTGAGACCCAGTAATAGAAACTTTATTTGCACTTTATTTCATCTGTGCTGAAATCTGTTGTAAAAGGCAACATTTACAAGTTTCTCCTCACAGTAATACATGACAGTATTTGATAATAACACAGACATTCTCCATTCAACATCACTTTCTTTTTTTAACTTGGAAATTTGTGACACATGCATTAATGCTTTGTGGCGTAATTTGTCTTGAACTATATTTCCTAGCACTAGAAGAACTTTTCCAGTCAGACACATGGTAATTCATGCTCAGTGCCTCCAGCTATGATGAACTGAATTTTAAGTTATTTTGTCTCTTATTAGTCTAAACATAGCCCTCTTCTCCAGCAGTAGGAAGCAGCAGAGTTTAATCCATAGGTGGAATGAGCAAAAATTCCTAATTGGTTGTTTTTTTTGTAGCTAAGTCTTGGCTAACATTTCCTACAGTTCTTAAAATTGTTGTTCTTTTCTGTATCTGATGTCCTGTGTGCTATTAGTGATGCAGCCATTGGGGTTGTCTTGTGTTGCACACCTTTCCAACACTGCGAAACGATCGCCCCACGGAAAAGCGCCCATGCTTGATATCGTATGGTTCATGACCAATATGTTTCCAGTACAGGTGACCCATGCATCAAAGTGTTGACTCATTCTCTGCATTGTGTTTTTTTTTTTTTTTCTTTTTTTGATCTATGAAAAGAGACCAAGGACAAAACAAAGTCTTCTTTTGTTTGTGAAAAAAGTTAAGATTTTTTCATTGAGAATAATAATTCAGATTGACTGACTGAGAAGAATAATTTAATAAAAGCAAAGTAAGGATGCTCGGTCTCCAGTTTACCATGAGTAGACAGTAGAACACTTGTAGGCTGTATGGGGAAGTGTATGCTCTCTTTCTCTCTAGAATACAGTGGGATAATTGTGCAGACATAGAGGAGACAGAGAGGCGAGTCCCTCTATTGCCTTCACTAATATCTGCTTCTGTCCTGCAGGGAAAATCCCAGAGGAGGCCAAGGCCTTGTCACTTTTGGCACCTGCCACCCCAGTACCCAGTCTGATTCCTGGTGGGGGACTGCTACCAATTCCTACTCCAGCCCCACTTCAGAATGTGAGTCAGCATCTTCTGGGCTAAAATATTGTTTGTCGTCTTGTCTGTCTGTCTGCCATGTAAGTAAATGTGTGTGTTTGTTTTTGTTACACCTGCAGCTGAACCTTCCCATAGTGAATCGGATATCAGCTGGTCTGGACCCCGCAGCATCAGCACTCGCCCAGCCCCCCCTCATGGGAAATGTGGATCCGTCAAAGATTGATGAGATCAGGAGGACCGTGTATGTTGGCAACTTGAACTCACAGGTAACATAATGTCAAATTTGTATTCACGCCTAACCTAGTGAGTATTTCCAGCAGCAGGGCAGTATATGTGAGACTCAGAATAAACGAACTGCAGTGCACATGTAAGCCAGTGCCGCAGTGGGGCTCATGGGTGTGTTTTTAATAGCTTTCGGACAACAATGGAGGGTAATTAAAGGGAAAATCTGAATAAATGAGGGGTAAATATAACAAATGCAGATGCTTCCATATAGGTGAGAAACATTTTCTTGCCATGGTTTGTTCCCATACAAGTCAATAGAAAGTTACCTAAGTCACCTTTATAATTGGATGAAACATTTCAACCCTGATGGGAAAGGTCTCTTCCAGGCTACTAGAAAAGATAAATAACACCTCCAAGTGCCATGACGTGCAGCATGACTTGTTGTCAGTCACTTTTTCCTTCTAGGAGCATGGAGCACTGATGATGTTGGATAACCGATCACTAAAATAGGTCCATTGAATGAGCTGACTCTTAACCAGATTGATTCAAGAGAATTAAGAGACATTACAACAGGTCGTAAAGGTCATCTTTCCTTCCACAGACAACCACTGCAGAGCAGCTGTTGGAGTTCTTCAAGCAGGTGGGAGATGTAAAGTTTGTGCGAATGGCTGGAGATGAGACTCAGCCGACACGTTTCGCCTTTGTGGAGTTTGTTGAGCAGGAGTCAGTCTCCAGAGCCCTGACCTTCAATGGAGTCATGTTTGGAGACAGACCCCTGAAGTAGGTATTTTTTGTTAAAAGAAAAGTTTACATAGACAGACATCATAAATCAAGAAACTTTCTATTTATTTACTTTTATTTACTACAAATGTGTTCCTTGTCGTGATTCATGTAAAACCTTTTATTGTTTTATGTCTTTCAGGGTTAATCATTCCAACAACGCCATAGTAAAACCCCCAGAGATGACGCCACAGGCAGCTGCTAAGGAGCTAGAAAGTGTGATGAAGAGGGTGAGGGAAGCCCAGTCTACCATTGCTGCTGCTATAGAGCCAGGTACAACACTATGAGTTGCTGCTTTTAGTAATAAGATGATGTTGTTGTTGTTGCGTTCTGATGCTGAGACCGCTGCTCTCGCTCTAGTGGAAACAAAGAAGCGTTCGTCCAGTCGGTCTAGAAGGGGACGCAGGTCACACTCGCGGTCACGTTCCCGTTCACACTCCCGGACGCGGAGGAAAAGGTCCCGTTCGAAACACAGGTGCCCAACTAACACTCAGTGTTTTTTTAGATTTCGCTCGCTTAATGCTGTGATCGTAAGATCGTGATTGTGACTTTGTTTTCCTCCTGTTGCAGCAGACCGCCGCAGAGGTTGTGGCCAAGGAGTGACTCCCACAGTTCGCGAGGCGGCCACAAGAGACGCTCTCGCTCCAGAGACAGGAGACACAGTCGAAGTCGCTCGAGGTTTGTTGGAAACAAACAACATAAAAGGCATTTATCTCCAAATTATTTCTTTTACTTTGAAAGTCCAAATGCAGTTCACTGACTGTGAGTTGAGCTGCATGTGCTGCAATATCTGCTGCTGGAGTTTAATAAAAGTTATTACAGTCCTGGAGAATGAAGTTAATCATAATGAATTAGGAAGGAAACTAAACATTATTTACTGTTGTGCCATCCTGTTATCCCTGCCCTTGCCAGGAGGGGTCACCAGCTACTTTATGAGTCTGCTAGCTGTCAGAATTTGGCTCCTGTTGTTCTGCATGTGGCACCGCGGGGAAAACCCCTTTCTGTTTCTATATCCTTATTGTATGTACTCACACACTGCTGCTCTTATTGCTATATGCTCATATTGTCTCTGTTGTTAGGGGCCACAGGAGGAGGAGTAAGGATCGGTCCAGGAGCCCTCGAAGAAAAGCCAGATCACCCTCACCAAAAAGGTAAAAAAAAAGGTAAAAGTGATTTTGTGTCTGCAAGATTTTGATTGGTTTCTTTTTGTTAATTTGTTTGCGTCTGTTTCTTTCAGAGGTAAGAAAGAGAAGAGGAGGGAGCGCAGCAGGGACAGGAAGGACCGCTCCACATCCAGGAAGAGGAGCCGCAAGGACGAGGACAGGATAAAGAGCAAGGCCAAGCCAACAAAGGTAATAAAGCTTCCTCACTGAAATAACACTCCCCCATGCAGATACTCGCTAGTACCAGAATCTGCTGATCAATTTATCGTGGCGGAGCAGGCAGATAAAGCACTTGTGATTATTTAATGAGGCGAGCTCGTTGCTCTAAAGGATTTCTCAGGCGTGAGGTGGAGAGAAGAATGTAAGGAGCTCGATCCATCCGGTTTTCTCCCTACTATGGTTGGAGGAAGACATTATTAGTGACCTTGTTTTCCTCCTCTAGCTCTTTATGGCTGGCAGAAGTGCTCGATGAACATCTGCCAGCTGACAGGGATGCATTTTGTAAGCAATTTCCGTAAGCAATCGTTGTCTCTTTTGCAATGCATTTTTGCCACGCAACTCATCCGCTGCTTCTTCACTGCCTTCATGGATTCAGGCTTCCCTTACTGCCAGCAGCTCGTTGCTGCTTGTTCTAAAGTTCTTTATAAATCTCCAAAAGAAATGGATTGATTCGCTCGATCTCAGAGTGGACATTTGGATGTGAGCCTCAAATGGCGGAGAGCTAGATAAGAGGATTGATATCACTTTTATTTCTGTGCAGTAAATATGAAGTTATAGCCAGCAGGTGGTTAGCTTAGTTTAGCATAAGGACTTGAGACCGGGAGAGACTGCTGGCCCGGCTCTGTCCAAAGGTCATACAAAAAATCGGCCTACCAGCCCCTCTAAAGCTCCCTAATTAACACGTTTCATCTGGTTTGTTTAATCTGTACAGAAACTGAAGTTGCGGCCGTACAGTGACAACAAGGCGCCTTTTTTACCTTCAGACAGAGCCTGAAGGTTCATTAATAAGGACATTATGAGCAGTGGCGGCCTAAAGGTTAGAGCAGCGAGCTTTGTCATTGAAAGGGTGCCGGTTAAATCCCCGTACCAGCAGCATAAATCCCTCATTACCACCACTGAGGTGCTCCAGTGGAGCTGCTCAGTGGCCAGCAGATCAGACCGGTTGCACTGGACGGCTTCCAGCTGTGAATGTGACCAGGGCGCTCCTGCAAAACAGATGCTTCCTCTCGGGGAACTTTCCTTGGATACATAAAGGCTTCTGTAGTGCCAAATCATAGACGTTACCTCAGGATACTTTTCATATGGAGGAGAAAAATACTGAGCAGTCTGAAAGGTAACAACAACAAATAACCTTCAATAGTCTGTTAATGTTAAAAAATCCTAAATACTACATGACAACATTATGGCTTCTAACGAGTGGTGTGTGTAACATTAAGCTAACACACATGAGCTACCTCGAGGAGTGTTGAGCACGTTGTTAACAAACTCACAGATGTAACTGTAATCTGGCTGTTTTCTGTTTTTTAATTATGCTGTTGTAAATGTGGTCTAACAGTAAGGAATCTTGTCTATAATCTTATTTATAAAAAAAAAAGCTTTACGCTGCAGCTTCCTATCCTCGTTTCATCTAAAATATACCTGTGTCATTATAGGGGAGAATTTGAAACACTGACCTACTACATGCACATCTCTCGTTTCCTGTCTTCCACAGACCCCCTCCCCAGTAAGCTTGTTTCTTCAGTGTATGTTTTAACCTCTGTCCAACTCAAGTCAAACCACACAACAGTGACCTACTTTGGAAAGTTTACGATAAAGATAGCTGTGAGATAAAGGGTGACAGATTTTGGTCTTATCTCACTACATCTTTTCTGTCGATGACAATCAGAGCATTCGTACAACAAGTGTTCTCCTCACAAAACCGCTGCAGTCTTGCAAAATGTTGCACTGCAGAGTCTGTACAGTCTTCTTGTTTACTACAGTTCACAGCTTTCTGAAGTGACACACAACACCCAAAATACACCCAACATTAGTTTTTTTAGATAACAAACACTCTAAACTGTAGATTTTATGTATTTCCTCACTGTAGAACAGCAGCTGCACCAAAAGTATTAAAACATCTACAGAAACATGTTAATCTTCTACTGCAGCGTAATTACCATCTCTGCTGTCCATCCCTGTGACCAGTGTGTCCCAAACATTTCCCCCACAGTACGCTAGTGTCAGTACAGCTCTCCAAGCGCATTAGTTATTAAGTTCTCGACCTGTCTCACTCCACATCCACTGTTCTGTAACCCGGCAGTGGACGTGATCAATTTCTTCCTCGAACTCTGATTCCAGTACAGCCGTAGTTTGTTTTAGAGGAGGGGTTGTTCTACTGAACATATTCCTGTATACTCTAAGGTATATGAAACGATGTGATATGAAGTCTTATGTGTGTTTTGGTTGGGAGTGATTAATTAGCCATAACTACACAATAAGCTCAAAGGTAGCTCTGAAATTCAGTCTTCCTGTCCTCATAAAATACTAGTTACACATACTATCTTGTGTTAATGGACGGACAGAAAACTCATCTGCATGCCATTGTTTTTTTTAATCTTCTGTTATTGAGTTCCTCTGTAGCACCTCATCATTCGTACCTGAGCTCTGATGTCTTTGTCTGACCAGGTTTGATTGGTACTCATTTCATTTCAGGCGGAAAGAGACTATGACAGAGAAGAGAAGGACGACTTCGAAAGTGACAGAGAAGACTCGGTCACACTGAGCGAGGACATGACATCATCACCCTGCGTCCAGCACAACGGCAGCTACAAGTCTCACAATGAGGAGGATGTGTACATGGGTGCAGACGGCACCAAGTGACTATTACACCACCATGGAAACTGCTCTAATGATCCCATTGCGTGTGTATACATACATGAACACCAGATTACCACTAACAACAGCGTGTTTCCCCCCACCATCGTCTCCTGTCGTACAATCTGATTTTATTGTCTATTGTCCTGTAATCCAACTCATTTTCAGTATCCCACTGTAAGGGCAAGTGAGCGCTCGGTACAGCAGAGATAAACCTTATGTTTATGCGTTATGATATCTTGTAAGATAACCGTACAACACTAAACACTGAAACTGCCATCAAAAACAATATTTAAATAATAGAAGCTTCTCAAACTGTGGCATGGCTGCCATATTGGATTGCATCATTTATACAGGTGATATTGTGTCCACCTCCTGTGCGTGTGTTCACTACTTGAAGAGCTCATTTCCTGTTCTTTCTATAGAGATTCTAAAACTGCAGTGCACCCCAGCAGACTAGATGAGCGTGCTCGCCTGAACCAGCTGCAGAGCTTCTGACGATGGCAGAAAATCCAGCAGGAAGAGTTTCCACTTGTTTGTCCAGAATTATGAAGTTTTTAATCGCAGCGTTGTCCCTGGTTACATTGATATTACTCCTCCAGTGACATCATGCCGTTTTCTTAAGAAAAGAAATGTTTATCCAAATATCACCAACAGCAATATGCAGCAAGGTTGCCTACACAGGTATAGGCCTGTGCTGCGTCAGAACAGGAAAAGTCCCCAAATGAGTCAGTGACACACAAAGATAAGAAGGCGTGTTTTGCAGAAAAGTTTTAAGTGTTAATCTGCCCAATGCGTTCGTAAATGTGGGCACTTTAAGGCACAAAAAGGGCCTGGACTGGCAGCTGCTCTGGATCGCAACGCATTTGAAGCTTGGCAGCAGGCAGCATTTAATACAAAGTATTAAAATGATAGGAAATAACTCTTACTATCCTATAATGTGTATCTGCTCCTGTCTGTAACAGTAAAGTAACTTCAGTTTTAGTGGAAACTGAATGAATTCATTTGTAGGGCTGTTTTACATTATGTGATGTAATGTGTCTCTTAGGGCCCCCCAGTTGAATCGTCACTGTTTTCAGAGAGCTTTGCTAGCACTGAGTTGGTTGATGCTATATTTTGCATCACTTGCGTTTTGTCAATACATAAATTAAAGTGATTGTAGTATAATCCAGGCCATTATCATGTTAGGTTCAGTATCTAGAGTTAGTATTTGTTGCTCACTAGCACACCAAAAGGCAAAGGAAGTACCATCAAAACAGAGTTCCTCTCAGCTTTTATTAGCCAGCTGAATTCGAGTTCATTACTGACGCCTCGTGAAGTAAAAATAAACTCTCTCACTGAGGTCTCATGGGGTGTAACTGTTCTTCCTCCTCGGCTGCTCTGGTCGTAGTGTGGCTCTGACAACAACTTCCTATATTCTGTCTATTTACTACATTTTTAATACATGTTCCTTGGTTAAAAAAAAAAAAAAGGAACCTAAGTGTAAGAACATGAGGGCCCCTCTCAGTGTATGGATGACATTAAAACAGGATTCCTGCTCATGCTAAAATGCTCATTTGCCCTTTGTGTGGTGTTTCAATCGACCAGGTCCGTGAAGTGTCCTTTTTATTTCCTCTTTTGCTCCATTTTTTCTCCATCCTCTGGGAAATGGAGTGTCCTACAAAATGTACGGTGTTGATTTTATGACTTGTGCTGTAATTATGAGAATGCAGAATTGTATTCTACTGTTTCTGTGAACCTGTTGCTAATATATTTTAGTAAAAAAAAAAAAAGAAACATTTCTTATTTGGTCGACATAAATACAGTGTTTTATTTCCTGTTTTTTGTTTTTGTTTTATGGGTGTACATTTACTTTCTTTCTTTTTTTACATTTCTGATCACAAGTAGTCGCAACAAGATCACAATGTATCATGTTCTTTTACCTGTTATTGTTGTAATGCTGTGAGATAAAAACAATTTACTGTTTTATAGATACAACACAGGCCTATACTGTAAAATGACGGTGGTTTGCAAAATGTCTGTCGGCTCATATTGCTCAAGAAAGCGAGACGCAAACAGAAGCTTGCAGCGGCTGTCTATATGAGGCTGAACAATATATGTCAAAGGTCAACGAACTGCAAGCACAGAAGGGTCAAAAAGTGCCTAGACTAAGATTGTACAGAATATTCTAATAAAAAATGGAGACTTATTGACAGATGCAACCTGAATTTATTGTTCATGATGTTTAATAGGTAAAACTAATGAGATGTTATATTAAAGTATTGTCTGTTGTCTTTAGTAATTAATAGCAGAATAGAGTGAACATTGATGGGACTTTTTGTGTTTGCTTTTTTTTTTATTTTAACGTTCTGTTATTTTTGGTGTTGCCGTTTGCGTTATTGTGATTGTGTCAAAAAATGAAAGAGGTTTTTGTGCAAACTGGCCCCAGATTGAGATCAGTGTTTTTTTTAAGTTTCTGAGAAAGCTTACTACATTTTAAAAGCTTTACTTTTAAAAGGAGACGTAAAGACTTTATGACTGTCCTCGCCAAATTCCACTTGTATGGCTTTTACAAACCTAATTTGATTGTATTTTTTTCTTTTCTTTTCCTGCTTTTTTACGTACACAAAGCTTCAGTTTGAAGTGGTGAACTCGTGATAAAGTTTAGTAAAAAAAAAAGCATTTCCAACAAAACTGACAGTATGTAAAGAATTTTATTTTTTATATGCGCTATGCTCGGTATATACTGTAGAACCGGCTGACGGTTTGCTCCTGGGGGATCGGCACTAGATGTCTGTGTTTGGGACTTGATGTAAAGGTTTGATAACGCTGTTTTTGAAGAGCTTGGATGTATGTATGTGATCCTCCTCAATTTGAATCTAACAATACATCTGATCTGTTTCCAAAAACACTCAATAAAGAGACTTTTCATTCAGTTATTTTGTTTTATCGCCCTTGTTATACCATCAGCCTTTGTTTTCTTGGTTTGGGTGTTAATGCATTTGAAACTTGTCCAATAAGTGCTTCACTGTGGACTTCTGTGTGTCTTGAACCCCTGATCTGGGTCAAGGACACTTTCTATCGACATGACTGCCTCTGAACCTCCATCCATACTTTTTTAGGCTAAAAAAGTGTTAGTAGTTTTATGTGATGTGGCTCTAGGGATGGCAGTGTTGGTCTCTTTGGTTGGTCAACATTAACTGGATGGATTGCCATGAATCTTTGTTGATATTCATGATCCCCAGAGGATGAATCGTACTTTGGCGATCCCCTGACTCCACATCTATTGGATGGATAGGCCTTTTTAATAGCAGGCATTTGGACATGTCACAGTAGGAAAAGAAAAAAATGCTGCAATGGCTGAAGTTCCATTAAGCTGCTTTATGGCGCCATCGTTAATGTTGAGATGTCAAATTGTCCGCTGTGAAAAAGGCCTGTTTGTCACAGAAAAGCATGTCCTCCTCAACATGACTTCTATTCTGACTTCTAATGCTAGCAAGATGGTTAACATGATAAACATTATACCTGCTAGACATCATCATGATAGCATTGTGTTGTGAGCGTGTTGTGAGCAGTCAGTCATGTTTTCATCATGAGGTATTCAGATTTACAGATGGAAATGAGATACTGTATGTTCATAGAAGTATATCAAGTAATGTACATATGCAGTTTGTACAGGAGCAGAGATAACGTGCATGGAGAGAAGAGATTGTTTAAGTAGTGCAGATATACAGGTAGATATTGTATAGAGGTAGGAGGAGGGACTTTAAATGATAAATGTCTGTCTTTAAATACTTTATATTTATAAGTTTCTATCTCTACAGTAATTTTTGCAGCTGAATACTGCACAACAAAGACATTCCAGCACACACCAGGATACTAGGATTGACACTGTTTTATTACATGAAATAAACAAAGTTTTAAAGGCTTAATTGCCATCAAGTTTCCCACACCTGACGGCAATTGAGTCAATCTGATGAAGCAACATGCGAGAGGCCTTCTTTGCTTCTCTGTCTTTTGTTTTTAATCTAATAAAACAGCGTCAATCCTGGTATCCTGGTGTGCGCTGGAATCCTTTTGTTGTTTGGTTTACTTTGGTTTGCTCTGCACCAGCTGGCAACCAGAAGAGAAGCACTGCTGGACTGCACTTGTAGTTGTGCTGATTATTTAAGACTTAATAAATTCATGCGGATGACCTGCAACAACAGTACGGTGGCTCCTCACAGTGCACCTCTGGAGCCCAAGGATTGCCCTGCGTTCCTGGCTCTTCGTGCTCTGCTTGTGCCGGTCTAAAATGTATTCACAAATTCATGGATATATCCTCATTGTTGTCCAAGACGGGACTGGTGCTAAATTGCCTTATATAGTCCAATCGTGATTTCACCACGGTCAAGTCCATGTCCCCTGCTTTGCTTTCCATGGCTTGAGTAACTGTTGGTGTATTCGGTAGCATTCCCTGCTGAAACATTTCCATTGTTGTATATCCACACGTAAAGGCAAGAGGAGAGATCTGGAGGTCTGTCCGCTGGATGCCAGAGGAAGTCTCTGCAGTAATGTCAGGTAGGATGTCTCCACTTGAAACCTCTGCGTCTCTATGGAACCAGTTACAAATGATTTCTGATGAGTCTTCCTCATCCTCTGTGGCACAGAGAAGTGGTAGTGAAGCTAATGTGCTAGCAGGGATCACTTCTTCTTTCTCAAGTATTTGAAGACTGTTTGTATCCCATTCTTCCACCTTCATGGACTCCAGCAGTTCCTAAATGTGAAATAAAAACAGTATCTTCAACATCCACTTATAACAACAGACAACTTACCTGGACCTTTAAATTCTCATGTCTCCTGTCCTGCAGTGGTGTGTCTGTATGTCCTCATTCACTTAATTAGATCTCTTCACAGTCTGGCTGGTTGCTTGGGGTTTTGTTTGGCTTTCACAATGTTAAAAATTATGTTTTCTGAAGGCAAAAACAGACGCTTACCAGTTCACAGGGCCGTTCTATTTTCTGCATCGCATTGCTGTTCCCAGGGTTAGGTATGCTCGGCCACAGAATGACTTTTGCTCTAGATTAAGTAGATTATATATATATAGTAAATATTTGTCCATATTAAAGATTAGTGACATACATGTGAGACAGTGCTGTACCTTTTAATTATTGGAGATCCAAATATCAGCACAATGGCCCCAACAGCAAAGATTATGATGAGACCCATGAGATTAGAATATCCTATGTAAAGAAATAGGCATAAAAATCAAATATTAGTATCAGAAATGTTCTGATTTATTAATGGTAAAAAGTTGTTTGTTTGAACCTTCATTGTTCGTTTTGAGAAGGCACGCTGTGCTTCGTACTCCTGCTCCTGCCTGTGTGAATCCTGATATCTGGACTTCGTATACCATGCCACTTTCGAGATCCCCCAGTTCATATCTGTCAAACGCTGGATCCACTGTAATATCTGCAATGAAAGGGTGATAGTTGTCAGCATATTACATAAGACACATCCGCTTTAAAGCTGAATAGCTTAAATACTGTGATTATTTACGCTTAGGAAAACAGCTAATATGGGTCACTCGGTTGGTCCATAGCTCCTAACCCGGACCCTAACCCAAACTATTACATTCTGTATCAGGCTGCTAAAGCCTTCCACCACCTGCTAATGCTGTAGTAGCTTGAACCTTGTTTTACTAAAGTTTGTGTAAATTGTCAGCCTTTGAATTTCAGTCTGACAGTGTTGTTCATGAACACCTAAAGACTGAGGGGGTGGTAAACAAACCAGCCGGCAGACAGGGAATCCACTAATGCATTTAGAGGCTTTATTTAACTGCAGGAAACAATGGTTGTGAAATGTGTCTGATTCTATTCTCTTCTACCACTGAACTCAAGTTATTTGTCTGGTCTATACAGTTACAGAATACAGAATCATTTTACGAGTGGGTGACTTAGTTTAAGGTGAATAAGGCTTACTTCTCTCCGTCCCCCAGTTGTGGTACTCAGTGTAGTGGATTATGTAACCCAGTAGGAAACCTCTGGTGTCTTCCTCTGGGATGGACGACCACTGCAGCACCACTGAGTTCAGAGTCACGTTGTGGCTGCTGATGTTTGTGGGAGCGCTGATGGGAGCTTTGGGATGATATCAGAGTCAGATTTGTTTGTTGTGGACAGGAGAGGAGGAAACTATCAGTACTGGCGTATTATGTGTGTGTGTATATTGTGTGTGTGTAGCTCTAGGATAGCCAAATTCCATCACTCTTGGTAATCAGAACCTGAAAATATCTCGCAAACTGTTGGATGGATGGACTGCAATAAGTTGACCTAAAGATCTCCTAACCTCTCCTGCGGAGCCACCAGCAGGTCAAAATGTTCATTTATCCAGTGATATATCTCTACATGATGGATTACTACAAAAGTTTAGTACAGACAGTCATGTTCCCAAGAGGATAAATCCTAATAACTCTGGTGATCGCTTGACTCTTCCTGTAGCGCCACCACCAGGTTTATATTAGAAATTTGGTGACTTTTCCTCACAATCAGCAGGTCAACAATCATTCAATTTGTACAATTCTTTAACTTTCTTTACAATAAGCATTAGTCTCATTAGGTAACAGACTGTTTATTCCAATAACATTAGACATACCGGAAAAGTAGTGACTTACATCCTTCAATGAAGTAGAACTGTGTACTGCCATAGGTGCTCTCACTGTTGTTGATGTGCTTCATGTTGCAGGTGTCCTTGTTTGGTCGTGTGTGCAGGGTGATGCTGTATCTCTTATAAGGCTCCAAAGGCTCTGGGTATTTAAAATAACCAAGTGGATTATCTCAGATGCAGGAAACGAAATACATTTCATCACATGCCAAAATTAACGCCGTCGTCCAGAAATTGCATATATGCCATAGGAAATATAGATTGCATATGCCACAGCAAATATGTTTTTTGAGAAACATAATGCAACCTGAATTAAGTTCCTAACAACATAATGAAGAGATGTTAAATTAATGTTTCTGGCAATCACATAATGTTTAAACAGAACACATCTGCCAAAATGTTCACTCATTTGTTTACAATCTTATATCCTCTCATAGCAACACTAACCATAAGACAAACCTTAAGGTTAGGTGACACATTGTAGTCTTGGTCCAAGAAGCCCAAGACGAGACATGTTCAGTTTATTAACATGTTATTGAAAACCGCAGTCTTTTCCTAACCCTAACTGAAGTGCTTTTGATGTCTAAACACAACAATTCATGGGACAGGATGCAAATCCTTATCAAATTTCCTCTGCTTTGAACTGACACATAACAAGCACTGTGGGACTGAGGATGCAAATCCAATCTCCGGTTCCTCTGCTTTGTACAAAAAACATAGCACTTCCTTCACTCCCAAAAATATTGGGATAATCTGTGCGCAACAAACAAATTAACAGCACGTGAACAGACTTTCTGAGGGACAGACCAGATTTTTTTAAACATTTGCACACCTGGTAAAGGAGAAAACGTCCTATAGTTGTTTTTATCCTCATGAAAAGACATGTACACTGCTTTATGTTCCTTCTTCATCCACTCCACAGAATAGCAGACATAGGTTCTGATGAGATTGGCTTCCCAGTATATAGTAAAAGATGAATTGCTGTGAACTGTCACGTTCAGCTTCCCAGCTCCCATACCTGAGGACAAATTTAGAATGAGTTTTAAAAATCTAATCTTATAATTCTGGTGGCTATATAAAGAGTTCATTAGCAAAAACAGATAAACACCATTCTTAAAATGATGAATCCAACACCAGTTTGATAAGAGTGAGCAAAAAGATAGATTATTTTACATCCAAAAGTAGCACCTGTTTTAAAGTTTGATATCGTTTTAAAACTGTTTTCAAATGACTGTGCAACAACCGCTATGCAAATGAGTTCTCACTGGGCTCGTCTTCTCGTCGTGGTATTATCCTGCTCACAGCTGGGGAGGTGCTAGCGTTGTTCACAGCACTGATGTTGAGATGATAAGCTGAATAGGAGAGAATCAGTCTGATTTCAGGCTGGGTGGTCTTCTTCCGCTCACATGGGCCCTCTCCTGATGCCTTCCTAATGGTCAGGTAGTAGCCAATATGCAGTTCTTTGGTAGGAAACTAACAAACAGGGTCATTTTAGGATCAGAATAACACCAGATATGGTTACAGTGAAGATATATTCTTCATTACAGTTCTTGTGGGAGGAAGATTTATGGAGATGCATTTGAAAAGATTACCTTCCAGGTTAAAGAAAGCAGCCGGCAGCCTTTATTCTCTGCAATATCAGTATCATGAAGGTTGACAATGACAGGCTGCGTTGTCAGTTCTGAAAGACATTTACTTATAGTGAAATAAGAAACAATAGCTTAGCTTCATAGTGGACTAAAAACATTTCATTTTTACAAGGTTTTGTTGTTAAGTACATGATAAGTATGATTATCTTATCACAATTGACACAATAAATACAAACAGCTACTTTTTAATGCTATATTGAGTTGAAACCAGTAAAGTACAAAGCAAACTGACCTGATTGGACGGTGTAGGGTTCACTCCATACACACTGTGTACATTTTTTATTAGTGACGCACTGTATCTGTACAATGTAGACCAGTGAGGAGTTTAGATTCTCCACTGTACAGTTCTCTCCATTTTGGGATTGCACAGGTGGCTACGAACGACATAGAAATCAATGAATGTCAGAAGGATTTATCTGAAACATCTGCAATACATATTAAATTTATAGTTTGTATAACCTGTAATCTCATTGAGATCAAGATCTGTATTTCAAGAGAGACCTGAGTACAGTATTGCAGAGGAAATCAGTACAGAGACACAAAACAAACAACCGCAGACATTTACTCAATTTCCTACCACTACTGAGTACTACTCAGCCGATGTAAACAGCTGTCTAAAATCTTCTGCATCTCTGGAGGGAGATCAATGAAGCTTTAGAAAGTAACCCTGTTTATCATCCTGGTTTATCTTGAGTTGAGACTTTAAATTACTGACAAAAAACCCTGTGTTATAATATATATAATAAAATACATATATTATATATACATATATATATTATATATAATAGTAATTGGCAAAAGTTAGCAACCCAACGCCCTAAACACGGTGAATATGGTAAACGTTTTGTCTGTAATTTATAGATTTCTGAATTCAGTATTCAGCTGTGGAGTATCACGAGTCTCATGTTTGATGGACAGCAGATTTAAATTTACAGAGTGGGAGGGAGACATTTATTTTGTGCGTAGTTCTCTTCCTCTTCCTAAAGAGGACCAATCTGCTCTTTCATATAATACACAATGATGAGTGTATGTACAATACAATATAATAAATCTCTCTTTATCTTTAGTTTCTGCACTATTACGTTTATAGATATATTTATAGATATTTATAAGCTTTAACTTCAGTCTTAGAGACATTTAATATTAAAAATTGAACACTGACCTTGCTCCACGACAGGCTGCCCAGTGCTTTATATCTCACAGAGTAATTCTTGATGACTTTAATGTCCTCCTGTGGCCATTTCACATTCACCGTTAGTCTTCCAGAGTGGCGGCTGAAGAACACATTATTTGGAGGACCACATCGCACTGAAATACACAAAGTTTCACTTATATTCAGATCTGTTAGAGCTTTATCATCAATCAGAGAAATACAGAAACAACTTGCCAGTAAAAACCCATTTTTGTGGACTCACATGTGTAACCTCTGAAAACTGCTTTTGTGCAATTTGTTGACTCGCTGTTTTCAAAAACCTCCACAGTCATGTTCTCGTTCTCATAACTGGGGATCTTTTCAGAGGTTTCTGTGATGTTACCCCGAACTTTGCAATATTTTTTGGTCCTAGAAGGAGAAAGCATTTTTAAAATTTAGATAGTTGTCGTCAGTGTTTTTTAATATTTAGCCAAGTCTGTATAATGTCACATGTGCTAGATAGTGGAGAGTGTAAATGTACTTACAGCTGCTGTATGATGAGTGTGTATGTCTTTTTTGATGCGTGGTTTCCAGGTTTCCACACACAGTTTTGTTTACCACGTAAATTATGTTTACCAAAACAATCTAAATCACGGACTCCATCTAAAACAGAGGCAATGGACGGTAATAGTCAAGCCTAAAAATGACTTTTTCCAGTCTCTAACCTGATTTTACAGGTGATGATTCAACCTGGCATGACTCAGACGTGTTTTCATTACCTGGGTGAATCCCACAGTGCTCATATTTGGAAGAAAGGTTCATTGTCTTGCAATTCACTGGAACATAAAATGAAACTAGATCATGATGATCAAGAAGGCTTTGCTCACAGTGGAAAAAATATGATACTACTTTTTATCTTATGGTAGGAAATGCATTTCATATTTGTGCCTCATTCATCAATGTATTTATGCAGAAAAAGTAAAATAAGCCTACCTGAATATGCTTGAACATGATAGGAGAATGTAATGGCGTAAGCAAGGATCAGACCTGGAATGGGAACAACAGCAGAAGTAGCTTTAAGGCAAAACTAAATACAATTAATATAGTTGTCTATAGTTGTCTATCTATATATATATATATATATATATATATATATATATTAAAGCATCAGCTGAGATCCTCCATAGGGCTCCAAACTGAATTTGATTAGAATTTTTATTTAAATCCTCAGAATGAAGGAGAACCTTCATTTACAAAGAACAAACACTAAAAACATCAGAGAAACTACGAGGTACCAAGGAAGAAGAATACATGGCTAAAATAAGACAAAGTGTTTCAGGTCAAAGTGTTTTTGAAGCAACTTCCATGTATGAAAGGCAGAGTAACTGAGCTGCAGTAGGAGGATAAAAGCAGACTTCTGCTGTAGTTCATCACAATAAAAAATGAATAAGCCCTACAAAAACAAACAGACTACAAAAGCAAGAACTAAAGCCCACTTACCAAGGATGAAAACATATAAGTGGCTCGCGTAGGAAGAACATTTTAAAGTTTTACAATTCAAAAGATCAAGCAGAGATCTATGGCCAACCATGTCGCCTGGCACCGACGGAAAGATTGAAACCAAGAAACCAACAAAGTGGGTTTGAGGCACTCTCACACCCACAACCTGCTGCCATTCACAGTCACACACAGTTGCTGCTCACTGAGAGTGAACGAGAAAGGAAATATTTGGAGAGTTATACGCCCTTACTAGTGTGGAGGGGCGGGGACACATGTGACACAGTTATACGATTCATAGAATAAGAACTTGACAGAAGGTCCCCTGGAGTTTGCAGAAAAAACTGTCATCTTCTTCGTACTTCTTCTTTCTACAAATAGAACAGCTCAGCATATGAGGTTGCTCAAATAACAAAACCACTCTGATATGCAGGAGGTGCCTCACAAGCTAAGAGAAATTACTGTAAAGTGTATGCATATGTTGGTTTGTATGAATTCATTTCTCTTTTCTCTGAGCAGTTACTGAAAACAGAGTCTCTTAGGTACACTGTGACTCAACACGAATGACAAATGACTTTAGGCTCTATGATTTCAGGAACTTATTTTGGTTGTTTTGCTTTCAAAGAACTGAGTCTAATTTTTATTTGAAAGTCACAACAGATTGACTTCGGTTTCATTTTGAATCAAAGGAGGACTAATTTAAGTGTTTCAGAGAACATTTTACATAAATGAATGGTTGTAGGAAACTAGAATGAAAATAATCAGTGAGGTTACAGGTCATATCTTGAGTAGTTAATATTCAAAAGATTTTATTGTTTTTCAGAATAGTAAGAGAGAATTTAACACATTAAAGGTAAAGATCTACTCCAGCCATATTTTAATGCATATTAAAATACTCTGATTTAATAATTAATTGTGTTCACAATCTCTGAATATGCAAATTTTACACTTATTCTGCAGAGTGCACAGTTTTGTCGACTGTAACTTTATTCAAGTGATAAAGTGGATGTTTTATAGAAACAGACAATGCAGAAAAAAGTGCATAGACTTTTATTATATTTTACTATTTTATATTTTTTATATGTTATTTCTAGATATATTGTTAGATATTTTTATATAATTATTATTTCTGTTCTTAATGCTATGTGAGCACCTTGAGCAGCTGCAACGAACAAATTTCCCCTCCCCTGGGATCAATAAAGTATTTCTAATTCTGATTCTGATTAAGTGCGATGTGCATATGTATTTGTGTGTGTATGTGTGTGTGAGGGTGTGTGTGTGTGTGTGTGTGAGGGTGCTACAGTATAAGACCACTGTTGACTAAAATAATCCCTCTTCATTCTGGAACATTAAAAGGTCGCTTAAGTCATCACAGCGCCAATAACAACTCATATTTACCAAAAGTGAACACATCCTCAAATAACCAGTAAACTGTCCGATATGCAGCTAACACAGGTGTGATGTGGAAACTTGAAACGTCCATTTCCAGGATATCATGAAATTTACAACCCATATCAGACACTTTTAACTGACAGAAAGATTGAGCATTGTGTGTGTTTCTAAACTGTTTTAATTAGACCACTACTGTAAATAAATCTTTGACAGCATTAGAAAAACATTAATAGCTTGTGTGTTCTCCAGAACAGCTACTAAGTGGACCTTGTGGGGAGCTATAAATAACTAAACTCAGTGTCAGTCCTGTCTGGTGGACTGGAATATATGTTTGTTGTCTGGATCCCTTTGGCTTGTGCCAGCTGCCCCCCAGAAGAGAAGCATGGCTGTGCTCAGGGGAGTATTTTGAACTTTTTGAACTTTTGTGTACTAGTTAGTTCCTCTATTAAAAACACTGCCACTGATTGCAAGTTCGTTGTTTTAGCTTCGTATAATGACCTAGAATTCAAGTTAATGACATTTTATTTTACGGGAATTGACTTCCTATAACCACGTAGAGCTGTTTATTTTTGATATGCAAGGCCAGGCAATACCTTTCTAAACAGGGCAAGTTGGCTGTTCTGCTCTTTGAGAGCTGCAGTAGGAGGATAAAAGCAGGCCAGACTTCTGCTTCTGCTTGGTTTAAAAAAGTGACACAAACTATATTAGTAGGAACAACAAGAAGTGCATTTGTGTGTTGTCATATGTTTTAAGACGGAGAAACAGAGAAACACTTGCGTACTTTAAGCTGCATGTTCCTTTCTCAGTGCTTAACTGTAAATGCACAGGAAGCTCAGTTCTCACCTCACTGACTTACTTTTAACTGACAGTTAAAAGGCCTTAAAAGCATCGTTAAGGCTGTTTATCGTGATCTTGATCTTGACGCTTTACACTTTGGAGAGCAAGGCTTGAACCCCGCGTGTTGCTGTGAAGGATCTTTGCAAGACCACAGCTGCCCAGCTGAAGTGTAAAAGGTCAACCGATCATATGACGACAAATCTACATCAGAAATGATTCGCTGGATGTGCTCACAGTATTGAAATTAGGGGAACTGATGTAGCCAAAGGATCAACTGTTCAAACTGAAAAGCAGTGATTAAAATTAGAAAAGAGCATTACAAAGATCATTACCACAGAAATTTTATTTCCGCTAAACAAGCAATTGCCTGCCTACTCATGTTTTTCTCATAGATAAATTTCCCCACCTTTACTCTTATCATCCTAAAGATCAGCAATGTGCTATAACTCACCGGCTTGTTACAAGAGTTGAAAGATTATGTGGGTTCCTCTCATGGTGTTTTGCTTTGATCATAGCTCTTTCATGCTGTCTTAGTTTTACACCGAGTGCCCTAACAAACAGCACAGAATTTAGTAATCATTTCTAAACTGGCATTCATCATTTGTTCTATGTTTACTGTAAGATGATTGATTGATTATTCTGCTTTGGAGATGCATCTGTGCAATAAAACACAGATTTGGAAATTTATAAACCTGAAAAAGTTCAAAGCAAGTAATTCTGAAAGTTATTAAATGCCACCATGTAAGAAATTTACAGGATACACAAGGTTTTTTTTAATCCTTTCAAAGGCGGATGTAGAGAGAAGGCCTAAAAAAATGCTGTGCAACTCAAGGTATGGTGTCCTTTCCTGTCTAATTAAACATATTAATTTAGATTCAAATAAGGTGTTAAAGAAAACCCAGACATTAACACATGTAGTTTCATGATTTATTATGGCCATATTTTAGACTGAGAGACACGCTTAAGGTCGATGAAAAAAGATATGTATTTGGAAAAAAGTCTGAAGATTTGGAATTAAAACAATTTATAGATTACTAATCAGTTGCAAATATCTTCATTTGGGGGATTTTCCAAGCAAATACCATGCTGCCCCTAATATTTCTCTTGATCCGCCCCCCATTGCAGGTGTCAGCAACCTTTTTGAAATGAAGTGCCATTTTTGAAATGTTCTTGTTCATTTTATTCCATCCATATAGGCAACATGTACAGCAACATTTTTTAAAAACATCATTTTTAATTAGATTTAAATAACTCAAATGTGTTAAATGATACATGGTGAATTTTTGTGAAATAAAGGTCAGTACAATAGCGTCAGCAAACTCTTACTTATTCATTTTTAAATAATAATAAATCACATTTCTTCCACTTACTTTCACACCATATTTTTCCCCAGGTCATCCACACCCCCAGTTTGCAGTGGATTAATACTGACCTTTTGACAGGAAACTGCAAAGAAAAGAAAAAAATGGGGTGCTTGTTGTAGGCTGTTAAAACAACAGCTGAGGAGAGTGTACAGGTTTTATTTTCAATGGCAACAACACATTATCATAAAGTCAGCTGCACTCTGTAACCTTTATTCATTGACATCAGCAAACAGTACCCTCCTGTGGAGAGTCTGTGTGTAGACTTGCTGACACACTATGAGAGAGACAGATACTGCATGCTGACACACAATGAGTATCACGAAAAGCTACAAAGATAATTGTAACTCAGTATATTTCAACATAAGCATTCAAATCCATAAAGACATAGCATTTAGTAAGAGGTATGTTCATAAACACATCTTAACAGAGACCATGCCAGTCATACCAGGAAGAACAACTCATATCTGAAGTTTATCGATGCTCCTTGAAGACGACTTTGTGACTAATAGCTGCAAGACAACCAGAGGAATAATGTTAGTGTTTGTCTGTAAAAAGAAATGTTGATCGAGATAGTATGAGAGTTAGTTATGTAACTGAAGCAGGCAGATTATTAGTAAAAATAATAATAATAATGGTGTAAAATGAAAATCTGTAAGTGACATTACAGTTTGAATTTAAGAAGATCTACTTTGAAATAACGAAGGAAAAAATAAAGAAAATATAAAATATAACAAGATAAGTAGAAATATTCTGCTGGGTTGGCCGGAGGGTGGCATGGAGAATTTAAGGGGTGGCAGATATATACATTGATTTAATCACAATCATAAACGTCAGTCAGTATTTGCTTGGAAAACCCCCAAATTAAGATAATTTAAAGTCCATGTTAAGCAAAAACATGTAGGATGATCTGAGTTTCTCTCAGCAAAGAGAAAGGTTGGAATGATTTAAAAAATCTGCTGCTGCGGTGGAAAAGCAGTGTCTTCATTTTTCCTGTGTTTGGTCATTTTAGTGTAATTTACAATGTGAATAAAACATGGTTTGATTTGCCATTTGAAAAGGGGATTTTTGTACCTAAGAGAAAAAAGGCAGGAGGGGAGAGGAGAGGTGACCCTCGGGCATCACACTGGCCAAATGACATTTGCACAGAGCAGTTTTAGCCTTTAAAAGTCAGCACGCAAGCACTGTTTTCACTGCAATATATTAGTCTGGAAGACATCCACTGAGAGCGAAGGGATTCAGGCAGCTTGGACCGACCGGTGAACTACAGAGAGAGGTTTAAATAACAATGGCAATGCACACTGCTGTATTGTTAATGTGAAATGAGTGATGTCTCAAAAGGCAGCCCTAACAGGTGTTAAAGATTTAACTGTAGATGATCAAATGTGTTCCAAAAGTTATTTTCAATGGATAAATGAGCTCAGTGGGACTTGTGTTTCATTTAACCGAGCACAGTGTGTGTGTGTTCAAGTTTCAGTGATGGAGAATATTTGTCAGTCATTCAGTAATTATAAATATTCAAAGGAATTATGGCTATTAACAACACCTCTGTGCTGCTGGGCCTTGTGCCTGTGCAGTCTACAGGTGTGGTT